GCCATGTGATCCAGCGGTATCCGTGGGAATGTGGCGTTGTGTTAGCATGCTAAGCATGGCGAGGTCACACATTGTTTAAAAGTCAATTTGCCCTTAACTTTACCAGCTTAGGAAGAACATAATTCGTATTCAAGTCTGCATAAAAAACAGTAAGCATAGTCTCGAAGGATAAAATATGAGTTTTACCCACAAAGAATCAAAAGATGCATAAGAACAGGTTACTTGGAGAAGCATTCCATTTTTATCAACAATTCTGCATAACCACATCTCATTCAGATGCATATATGCCTTATGCGTTTTATAGATGCCCACCTGATCGATTGTTGCATCTGGAAACTTAAGTGGCAATTTGGTTGTCTCAATGTCGAAGGCCAATACTATGGGATCCGGCCATACAGCAGTCGTCTCGTTCAGCAACAACTCAATCACCTGACCGGGAAGACAACGTACTGTGTACCAATGGGCCGCAAAGATGTTCAGGTCAATACAAACGCGCATCAAGTAGGGTACGTCATACTCACGCAGATCAATCAGAGCATCCAAGGGACCTTCATAATTTCTGCCGATGGATGCACTTGTGCCCAGTGATTTCCCATTGTCGTCTGTTGCAGAAATATTGATTCGAGGACCAGTGGAATTCGTTGAGAAGTGTTCAGCCAGCAGATCGGTGTAGCTAGAAGCCAATTTGGCTAATTCTTTATTTTTCGCCACTCTGAAGCTGAGGTCGCGACGCACCCGTAACAACTCCTGCACAGTGTAGAAAGCCAGACGCAAAAAAGTAGCTTTCAGTCCGATTAGATGATTCTGCAAATCCAGGTCCTCCTTCTCTACAGTATCCACACGAGCAAGCCTACCTGCGTATTTACGAGTCAAATAGGTGATCACGTCACGCTCTATGCCTGGCTTCCCCTTCACTGCCACGAAGAAGTAAGGCTGATAGACCCTGCTAGCCTAAGTAAATAAGGCAGATGTAAAATGGTAATTAGAATATGGAAATAATCTACTATGGCCAAAATTAAGGATACTAGTTCTATATCAAGAATACATTAAAGTCATGTTTACAGGATCAAGGCAGCAATCTTTCGAGCCAGCTTAAGTGTAGTTGTTGTTACCTCTCAGATAACATATTCAGCATGATTTCTATCTTAGTTATATCTGCGGTAGTAGTGAACACACAAATAAATATATTCTAGATTAACAGATCGAAAAGATAAACAATAAGTCTACATAAAGTATTGCATTATTACACAAATATTACTATTTATAAAGATAAAAATAAATTTTTTTTGAATCATGATAAGAGATAAAAAATATAGTAGTAAAATTTCATAGATATGACTAAGGCAATCGATAGATTTTATTAAAGGATGAAAGAAACGGTAACATAATTCTTTCTAATAGGTTAAATAAAAAGCATAATAAATTACTTGCCTTAAAGCGACAGCCATCAGATTTGATAAAATAGAAGTCGACACCACTAACAAGCCTTTTAGAATCAGGATCAAGTATATCTGTTGGCTGCATTGTAAAGAGCCAACCAACCTGATCTCCGGGTCCAGTAAAGGGTTCAAAGCCCATTCGGCGATCCATTGTGTCGCTCGATTTTGCTTGCTTAAGCCTGAATTCATTTGATTCATTTGAAGGAATGGAGAATTCACTTTCAAGAACATCCCCCAATGTCTTTGTTTCTGGGTTATCATGATGTGGCC